ACGGGAGTTCGGACTTTCCGTCCTCGTCTCCGCTCCGCACTCCTGGGGAGAAAGCCACTATCACACGGGTTTTCTACGCTCACCGAAAAACGGTTTACATTCCTACACGTGTCGGTTTTCAACGCTCACGTATCAACGTCACTCCTCACACTTTCGGTTTTCTAGTTCACCGAAAACTTCACAAACACACTCGGTTTTCTAAGCTCTCTACCGAAAACCTTTTCATATCTCACAATGTAACAATAAATGAATTTGTTCTCTTCATATAAGGGAGAATCAATTTAAGCCCCACAACTCAAAGTTACAATCTACTCACCAACCTAATATACTGTAAGACCCGTACGTAGATTTTTGAGTTATGTATATGTACATCAGTAATGAAGTTGAGTGTGCAAGCATTTCGAACCATTATGCAGCAGAGTCAGAGTATGCCAGTTTCTAGTCCATGAGTTCGAACTCATGACTGTCATGAGTCGACTCACGAAATCTGAGTCCTGTTGTTTTTTTTAGTCTCTGCTGAGTGACTCATTTATCATGAGTCGACCCATGAAGTCATGAGTCGACTCATGACTGTCATGAGTCGACTCATCGGTGGTTTTTTTTGCGTTTTCTGGGTCGGACGTTTGTTTGGTTTCGGGTCGGGTTTATCCACTCGTTAGTTATTCCTCTATCCGAAAACACATCTTCTTGATCAGAAAAGCCCTGAGAAACCCTAGCCTCTTCTCCCCTCTAAACCCTAGCTCGTTTTGGGATTTTTGGGCGATTTTGGGGATTTTCAGTGAGCTTTCGTGGATTGCCAGCGAAGGGGTTTGTTCATCATCACTTTCTAAGGCGAGTAACATCTTCGGCCCAACTCTTTCTCCCATGTTTTTATTATTAGTTATAACTGTTTTTCATTAAATTTTATTGAAGCCTAAGACATTATTTCAAGTATAAATCAAGACCCTTGTTAGTGGTCATAGCCTAAAATCATGTATTTCAGATTTTAAATCCCCACCAACAAGTTTTTCATGAAAACCCAGATCTGGAATTTTGTGTAAGAATAGAAAATATGAGTTTATTTTGATTAAATGACTTTCTTTCATGAATAGGAGTTAAATGTTAGATTTAACCTACAATGCAAAATCGTTCTCATGATAAATATGTTTTCTCACTGTGATCATAGTCAAGAATCGGATGGCCTATAGAAGTGTAGATCATTAAGAATGGAAGTGTGGATCGTTTGAACAAGTTACAGTTGGCTGAAGAAAATGCTTGTGTTCAGCCCCGGCTGGCTGAGTCGACCCACGCCTCATCATGAGTCAACTCAACAGGTTGAGTCGACCGATTGACTGTCATGAGTCGACTCACGAAGTCTTAGTTAGTGCTGTCTTTTTGTTTCTGCTGAGTCGAGCTCGTCAGTTATAGCGAGTCGACCCAATAAAAGCTCATGAGTTGACCCATGACTGTCATGAGTAGACTCATGAAGCCCTTTCCTGCTATTATTTGAGTTCTGCTGAGTCGACTCATATTAAGCACGAGTCGACTCATCGCAGTATTTTTCTTTCTGTTTCGTTCGTGCTTCTATTTAAATCATCTGCTGGGTATATATATATGAGTATATATGTATACCGTGTTTATATATTCAAGAGTACTATCTATCACGTTTGGACTGGAGGAGTGCCTCGTTTTTTTGAGTATTTATTTGCAGTGAATATGATTTTAACTATACATGTGAGATGACCTTTCGGACATAAGTTTAAGTCAGTACAGTAGGGCATGTTCGGGAATAAGA